TATAACTTTGTGTTTTTAAACGTGGTAGAAAAGATGCTTTTATGCCATTCTGTTTGAGAGGCGTGTATCTGAGTACATGTTCAGATTGATATATTTATTCAGCAAATATATTTTAAATATCAATCAGATAATAAATGTTATTTTTGAAGTTTCTGTCCCTTCTCCAGTGTTCCCACTATATCTTCCATTAGATAAAGTTATTGCAGACATACGATTTTGAATTTGAAGCATTTACAATTTGAATGCTTCATTGGTTTTTTTAGGTGTCATATGTGAAAATTTGATATTATATTAATAGTTTAAATATTTATAAATTATAGATTCAAAAGTGCCTGACTTAATATCTAAAAAGTATTTCAGTTCATTTCAAAGTATTAGTCCAAAACAGGTTATAAAGAGACAGTGTTTCTGTCCCTAAAAGGTGTACTCTTCAGTATTTTATCCTTCTCTGCTGTATGTGCATCTTTTGTTTATTTCTCATCCTTCAAAGCACAAAATAAAGAAGAGTACAAAAGTTTCCCCTCAGCCCTTTGTTTCTTCTTTGGGTGTCAGTAGTGGGGAGAAAAAAGCAAATAGACCTGAGGAACTGAGAAAGACTGGAGAGGTGAAATTATAAGGAAAAGGAACAACTGAGATTTGAAGGTAGAACTTTGAAATTGCCTGATAAGTCAATTACAAACGAAACATTGTTTTAAAGATAACTAGTTGTTAGAATGAAGCAGATTGTTTGAGAAATATGTGGAACCATATATTTTCACTAGAAGTGGTGGAAAAATAGCTGCTTCTGAGATTCAGAAAACAGTAGCAATGAAAGGTGATGGGGAACAAAACAAGACATCTAAAAAGCAGTTATGTATATGGTGAAAAACAAAATTGAAATAATCTTTGTGTTGTGATGGTGCTGAATGACTGATACTTACGATCGATCCCCAAAGTTCGCTGGAACTTTGTGCCTGTACGGCCACATAATCATGAATTGTGCGCCTGGCAACCAGTTTGCGCTTAACGATTGTTGCAGCATCCCAGAGTCACATAATCACCATTTGCAACCTTCTTTGCCAACTTTCCACAAGTAATCAATGGGGAAGCCAGAAGGGAAGGTTGCAAGTCAGTCTTGTAAGTCCCCCTGGCCTTCCTCCACTCACATTGGTCCTTGGCCTTCCTGTGCTCATGCTGCGTCACATCATCCAGCCTCTGCTCCCATGCAGCCTGCACCAGCTCCCCCCTCAATGCCTTCCCCCAACTCATGCGCAGCTTGCAACATCCTTCCCAGAAGTGCCTCCCCTGGCATTTCCCACCCCTCTGCAGTACCCCTGCATATTCCTTATCTGGGACTTACACCACTTCCAACTTAATGACCAATATATCTTAGTTTATGACAGCAACTGGGACTGTTGGGATTGTTGTCATTAAGTGATACAGTGACATGACATTATGCTTTACGACCACATCATTTAGTGAATGGCAATCCTGCTCCCAATTGCCATCATAACCTGAGGACTGCCTGTATTGTTACATTATTGTCATTCCTTATCTGTGTCTTAACTAAATGATCCTACTGTTCTAAATACTAGTAATGTAAATTTAAAAACCACTTGTGTTATTTGGGATTTTTAATATACAATGTCCTAACTTATGACTAGTCATTTAACAACTATTTGAAGTTATGACAGCTTGGAATGTGAAAAAATGGAAAAGGTTCTCACAAGCCTTAAATGTTAAAGACTTGATGTATGTAGCACAGATGTTGAATTTGTTCCTATTCTTTAACATATACACACAATTAATGGAGGAGGTGATTCATAACATTCATTCATACCATTCATCTACTCCAGGGGTGTCAAACTGTGGGCCAGGTGCGTCATGCCGAAATCGCGCCCACATCATTGCCGGCAATGGGGGAAAAGTCGTAATACGTCATGGCACATCACATGACGTTGCAAGTTTGACACCCCTGGTCTACTCTGAGGGAACTATTGATGATGTCATTCAATAACTGGAGTCTAGATGAGGAGTGATGAAATGAGACTTAAGTTCTCTTGATCAGAAATTGTATTTATTTAACATGTTATGCTGCCACAAAAATTACTCTTGGCAGCTCATACAAAAATATAAGACAAACTTGTATAAAAATTGTAAATACAACATTACCAAAATAGAGAATAAAAGATGGCAGCTCAAATTGGGGGAAGGCTCAAATTGGGGGAAGGCTCTCTGAAAAAGCTCAAGCTTCAGAATCTTGTGAAAGTTGAAGTAGAGATTTTGATATGGATGGGGTTATATTTTCCTGAAGAATTAGCTCATAGTTTATATGTCTGTATTCCTAGATAGAAATAGGTTGGCCATGAAACATTGATAAGCAGTCACTTTAACCCCTTAAAAAGCCAGAATATAAGTGATTATATTTGCCATGCTGCATGATATGTTGTATATTTGGGAATAGTCTAGTGTATTTGCATATAATCGTAAGATATAGATATTATGATAAATAGATTGAATTACTTTTTCTATTGTTTCATTTTTTATGACAAATTAACAAAGGAAATAATAGATATAGCAACTAAATTTGGAGTACTTTTATAAAGTACATTTTCTTTAGTAATTAATAACATTTTCCTCTTCTACTTAGTTTGTTCTACTAATCAGCTTGAAATGAAAATTCTTTTTCCTTCTAATTGTATGCATTATGTGGAGAACTCTGCAAAAAAGGAACATGTCATATTTAATTATCGAAGTTGGCAGTGAGACTTCCATAGCTATAGTATGACTATGTGGTAGTCATTAACCCCATTTTAAAAAGTTTTTATCTTAGCTTTATTAATAGTTTTGAATGACCAAAATGATAATGAAAGAACCACATATGATTTTTGCTGGACAAACATTCTCTATGATTATGATCCAGGAGGAAAATGTTAGCAACATGATGGCTATATATAAGTCTACAAAACAATTGGTTTATTTGAAGAATGAGAGTGATAACTAAGCATTTACTTAGGAAAGAAGTTTCAGTATTTTGAGATAGATGAATGGATTTGTAGAAGGTGTCCATTTGTGTGTACACAGAGCAAAGGGTGTAGGATACAATGTGATGTCATATTCTGAATGTGGACAGGCATTTGTTTAGCAGTGTTGTGTAAATGGGGTGGTTTCTCCTACTTTTCACTAGTCAGAAGAACAAGACAAGGATGTCCACTTTCACTCTTGCTGTTTAATATCTGAGCGGAACCTTTGTTTTGTGTTATTAGATAACATAGAGAGATCTAAGAAGTACACAATTCAGTTGAAGATTGGTTTTGTTTAATGTTATTCGTTTATTTCTAAACTTCACACTATTATTCCAGTGTTGATGCAAAAGATAGATGCCGTTAGCAAAATAGTAGGATACTCTAGTCTAGTCCAAATCAGAATTAATGCAAATTGGTGAAAATTGGGTTACCCATCCATTTAAGTAATATTCAGTGCTTTTTTTGTTAAAAAAAAGGTGCTTTACAACTGCATTATTTAGCCAGGAAATTCTGGTCCCAATAGGGCTTACCTACATGAAAAAAAAAATAGAGTGCAGTGGGATAGGGTTTGTGTAGTAAAATAAGATTTAGGACCAAGAATGAATGTGGACTAAATGAATACAGATTGAATAGAAAAGTGAGTGACCAACATAAAAGAAGTATATTGACATGGTTTGATCATATTGTACACAAAATAAATATATGAAAACAGAGTGAATATATGTAGAAGAAGGTGAAGATCAAAAAATTGGAGGTTAATTGAGATAAGAATGAAAAATTTAAAGAACCCAAATCATTGAATAAAGAGTATGTGGATGTAATTTCCAAAGAGAGTTTTGGAAATATAAAAAGGGTGACAATGTGTCATTTATTAATTAATGACTAAGAAATTCCCTTTAAATTTTGTTTAGTTCCAGCATAATTGCATTATTTATTAGAATGAAAGTACCACTTTGTGTGTATTGTCGATGCACTTTAAAAATGAAATTTTATTACTAAACTGTACACTGAAAAATGTGAATTCTGCAACTTGCATAAATTATATTACAAGTTGTTCTTGTTTGGAACCAGCAAATCATTTGTTAAGCAAAGATGTTGCTAGGTGGAACCACTGTGCTTATGATCTCGCTTCAATTTTCCATTGCTTTACAGACCTGCAAAGGTGGGAATGAGAAAATTGGTTATAGGGTTAAATTTTCATTACCGTCGTAACTGCAAATAGTCACTAAATGAGGCAGTCATTAAACAAGCTTGTATTGCACTTTGCTGCCTGTGTCATCCACAGCTAACCTTTACAGTCTTCTGCTACTGCTGACAAGGCACATAATCAGGCCTTGCCTTTTGAGAAGCAGTTACTAGCTACATCTGATATCAGGAAGAAGGCCATGCACGCCCAGCAGCACTGGGAGGAAGATGTCAGCCAAAGCCCGTTGGAGTTGTAGAGTACAGGGAGACAGGGCAGAGATGGGTGGGAGGGGGGGAGATGAGAGGATGTGAGGAGTTGAAGGGCACCCCACGCTGGTAAATGCAGGTGGGCTGCTAAGCATCCCAAATTTGATAATGTGACCAAAGGGGCCACCACAACAGATATAACTTCAAGGACTGACCATGAATATTTTTGTTCAGTTGTATCTTAGAATTAGAAAATTTTAAATAAAATGTTATTAGAAAATAAACTATTATCTGACATAGCTTGTAGTTTGCATGTACTTCAGCGTGGCTTAATAAAACTCAGGGAGGCAACTTTATAACTCTTTTCCTAAAAATAGCCAATGGGATAGTTTTCTCTTAAAAAGATTGAGCAATATTAAGTGAGTTATCACAATACTTTGTTAAACACAGAAAAAAACTTGATTAATCGTGAGAAAGCAATGGAAGTCACTGTACCGTATACACCAATTCTGTCTTATGTATAGAATAGATGAATTATTTTTCAGTAATATTTCACATAAAATCTGCATCAGCTAATTTTATTTTTTTTTATTTACTTTTTAGGTTATATTTCACACTATGTGCTGACTGTCTGTACTTACAGAAAATATTTAAAAACAGTTTTTTTTTCAAAATAAATTTGATTCCAGTGGAATCTGCTTTAGATTTTGTCTTGTGAAGTAACTCCTGAAGCAATGCCTGTACAAGCTCCACAATGGACGGATTTTCTCTCCTGCCCTATTTGCACACAAACATTCGACGAAACGATCCGGAAACCCATCAGTCTAGGTTGTGGCCACACAGTCTGCAAGATGTGCCTGAACAAGCTCCATCGGAAAGCATGTCCTTTCGACCAGACCACTATCAATACAGACATAGAACATCTTCCTGTGAACTCAGCTTTGCTGCAGCTTGTGGGTGCTCAAGTAAGGGAATGTTTCCTTGGTCTCCTGCTTTGGATTTTTTTTTATAACTAGTTGACATTTATTTCATCAAATAAGCAAGTGTGTTTTTTAAAAATTACAGAAAAAATAAATAATGAACAAATGTAACAAACCATACATTTTCAAACATATAAGCTTGTTTTGTAGTTTTGAAAGCAATGTGTTCTGTCTTGAACGTATTTGTGTATAAAATAGTATGGAATCACATATTTTTTCTTTTTGTAGAAATAACTGCTTTGTCTCCTTCAAGACAGGAATAGACAGTTAATGAAAAGTGAGGAATTGCACATAGGTTTTGCAGGCATAGGTGGGAGAAATAAAAACTTAAAAGTAACCATTTCTTAATGTATTTGTAATATTCTTACGTTTTCTACAGATGCCAGAACAGCAACCAATAACTCTACGCAGTGGTGCTGAAGATACTAAACATTATGAGGAAGCCAGGAAATGTGTGGAAGAACTAGCCTTATACCTTAAACCACTCAGCAGTGCAAGAGGTAAATCATGCTTGTCATCCTTTTGCCATGTTTTAGTATAACAACATGTGTAAAGAATCTCCAATTAAGAAAACAAGTGCTGAAGCAAGTAATCTTGAAAAAATGTAAAAAAAAAAACAAAAAAACCCGCAAAAACCTACCATACTTCCTTCCCTTCCCACCTTCCTTCAGCTTTTATGGTATTATGTGGTATTTATGACATTTGGTGTCCTGAAAGGAACCAGCTCACTTCTAACTGGAGCAAATGGTGTTATTGTTTCACAGCAGTTAATTTGAACATGAACAAAATTTCAAGGCAGACGAAATTGTACCTTGAAGAAATTCTGAAGAATAATGTACAGATAAAATGTTTTCCTCAGCAGATCTAAATACCATAACATTTTTAACTCTTGCATACTATTTGAATAATTAGCCTCAAATAGATTGTATGCAACTTTTGCATTGCTCTCAAGAAATTCAGAAATAACAACTTTTTTTCTCTGTATAAAAGGTGTGGGATTGAACAGCACAACTCAGAGTGTGCTTAGTCGGCCCATGCAAAGGAAGCTTGTGACATTAGTCCATTGCCAGCTGGTGGAAGAAGAAGGGCGGATCCGAGCTATGCGTGCAGCACGATCTCTGGGTGAAAGAACTGTTACTGAGCTTATTCTTCAGCACCAGAATCCTCAGCAATTATCTTCAAACCTTTGGGCTGCAGTGAGGGCTAGAGGCTGTCAGTTCCTTGGACCAGGTATGTATCAGGGAAAATGGTTTTCTGTCGGTGAGAAGATCAGTTCTGATATGAGCAGAAATGCTTTACCTACCGTATTTTTCGCTCTATAAGACGCACCTGACCATAAGACGCACATATCTCCTTGATTAGTTTCCACCCATTGTTTCTTGTCTCGCCTTCTGGGGCTTTGGAAAATAAATTGATCCCCTCCTCTTTGTGGCAGCCCCTCAAATACTGGAATATTGCTATCATGTCAACCCTAATCCTTTCCTCTTGACTGGCCATACCCATTTCCTGCAACCGTTCTTCGTATGTTTTAGTCTCCAGGCCTTGACATTTTAGTCTCTCCCATCTCCCAGCAGAAAATTACAGGTAGCAGTTTTAAATCACGCAGCATAAGGATAATAACATTTGGAAAGAGAAAGAATATGCTGCAGCAGCCAACATGTTCCAGCCTTGTCCCTTTGCTTCCTCCAGGCTTCTCCCCCAGCCTGCCTTCCACTCACCTTCCATTTGCTGTTTCGAGCCTGGGAAGAACACTCCTCCATCCTCCTATGGGTGAGAAGGAAAAGGAAGTTCCTCGGCCCTTCTCCTCTCCGCGACTTCCTTTCTAGCAATACTCGATGGTGTTGTGTTAGAGCGCCACCTAGTGACGTAAGGCTTCCCTGCCAGTATATGCTCTCCTCCCCTGCACTCAGGCTTCAGCTCCAGGCAGCATTCGCTCCATAAGACGCACAGACATTTCCCCCCACCTTTTGGGGGAGAAAAAGTGCGTCTTATAGAGCGAAAAATACGGTATTTTCTATATTTGAACAATTTAAAGCATTTAAAAAAAAACAATTTCTTTTTAATGATATTGTGGTTTATTTCTACTTTACATTGCACAGATTTGACAGGTTTTACTAAAGTCTTACTAAATGTTCAGCTATACAGTAGAAGGGTGTTTTATTAAATTGTTTAAAGATTCAGTATAGGCTCCAGCAGTACCAGATAAAGTAATCCTGGAAAAAGTCTCCCAAATGTAAACTAACAAAATTCAGACTTCAAGAAAAATATAAAGTAATATTTAATAATTTTCCACTAATTTAGTTGTAAAAATTCAGCATTACAATTCAGCACCAACTTTTGGAATTAGTTGTTACCCAAAGCTCTCCTAGCAGCCTTCCGTAGCCTGGGTATCCTTCAGACATATGAACTTCAGTTTCAGAATGCCCCTCCAGTAATTGGTGAGTTCTGCCTTAGGGGACACAAAGTAGCACTCAAGGCTCATTTCTTAGTTGCAAGAGGCAACACAATCAACAGCTTACACTGATTTATTCATTCATTACAGAGAATCCTCAACTTACAACCACAGTTGATCCCAAGGCAGTTGATCAACCACAGTTGATCCCAAGGCAGTTTTTAAGTCATTTGTGCCCCATTTTATGATTTTTTTTGTTAAGTGATCACTGTAATTGTTAAGTGAATCATGCAGTTGTTAAGTGAATCTGGCTTCCCTCATTGATTTTGTTTGTCAGAAGCTCCCTAGGAAGGTTGCAAATGACAAAATCTCAAGACCCCAGGATGATGCAACCATCATAAATACATGCCAGTTGCCAGGCACCCAAAGTTTGATAACGTGACTGTGGGGATGCTGCACAGAATAAGAATTGGTCATAAGTCATTTTTTTTCAGTGCCATTGTGACTTTGAACAGTCATAAAATGAATGGTTGTAAGTCGAGGACTACCTGTATTAAATATTGCAATATGTATTGGACTGAAATATTCAGTGGCATAATTAATCCTATGTTGAACTATTTGCAATAAAGAATATACTTGGGGTTTTTAGTATTTACTTTTTTTTGTAGGTTTGTCTTTGCACTCGATCATTCCTATTTTTAAAACCATGTCATAAACAAACTAGTAACCAGAAGATTGTCTAGTTCCTTCTAATGCAAGTAAATTGTTCTCTAGGGGAAGGACATATTTTCTACCACAATCCTGATGTAACTTGGAGATTTCTGTAACTCCTAATATAATTGCTAATTTTGTAGAATTTGTAATAACTTTAAGAAAATCCTATATTAATCCTGTGATGGTCCTCTTGATTTTCCAGCGATGCAAGAGGAAGCTCTGAAGTTAGTTCTTTTAGCTTTAGAAGATGGATCTGCTTTATCTCGAAAAGTTTTGGTTCTCTTTGTGGTACAGAGGTTGGAGCCACGATTTCCTCAGGCTTCTAAAACCAGCATTGGGCATGTTGTCCAGCTTCTTTACAGAGCCTCCTGTTTCAAGGTACAAAAGAACTTAAGTGCTTGTGGATTTTCTTTATCTTGTAGTTATATCCATTTATTAATTGTCTGTGTTTTTGTGAACTTCTTTTGCACAAATGGCTGATGTAAAAAGTTCCACAGAATTATCATTTGCAAGAGAGAAACTTAATTAGGCACACTTACTTTTTTGGGTTATTACTTTATCTTACTTTAATAGTTTTGCCTCCACCAGGTGACTAAACGTGATGAGGATTCCTCCCTAATGCAACTGAAGGAGGAATTCAGAACATATGAAGCTCTGAGACGAGAACATGATTCCCAAATTGTACAAATTGCTATGGAGGCTGGTTTGCGGATAGCTCCAGATCAGTGGTCTTCATTGCTGTATGGAGACCAGTCTCACAAATCCCACATGCAGTCCATTATTGACAAGGTAGTATCTCTTTAAATCATTATCCTTTTGTTTCTCAATCAATTTTAAAAATGTATAAAAATTGTAAAGAGAAATTCATATTTATATGTGAAATGCACCACATTCCAATCTTTTCCATTCCAACTTTGTACAGGTAGTCCTCGACTTACAACTATTCATTTAGTGACTGAAGTTAACAATGGCACTGAAAAAAGTGACTTCTCTTTTTCACACTTAACAACTGTGGCAGCATACCCATGGTCACATAATCAAAATTCCTGCATTTGACAACTGACATGTATTTATGACGATTGCAGTGTCCCAAGGTCATGTGATCACCTTTTGCAACTTTTTGTCAAGCTAAGTCATTGGGGATGCCAGATTCATTAAACAGCCATGTTACTAACTTAACAACTGCAGTGATTCATTTAACAACTTGGCAAGAAAATTGTAAAATGAGGCAAAACTCACTTAACAACTGTCTTGCTTAGCAATGGAAATTTTGGAATCAATTGTGGTCGTAAGTTGCAGACTACCTGTAGTGGAAATGCCTACCAGGCATGTGATCTGCAGGGCGGGGCAGGGCTTTCAGGGACCGAAGAAAGCCCCTCCAGCGGCAGACGCGGCTGATGCATGGTGGCAGTGGAGGCCTTTCGCCATCACTTGCCCCTGGCTCTGAAACGGGAGGGGGATTGGGTAAGGCGACCGAGCTTCCCCTGCCCATCCTCTAGCAGGGCTTTTCAACCTTTTCACCCATTGTACCACTTTTAGGATATGGCAACATCCGAGTACCACCAGTCGCCTAGCAAGGTGTCAAAAACTTGATGACCAAAAAAAAGGGAAAAAAAGTGATAAAAGTACAGGTACTTCTCAACTTACAACAGTTCACTTAGTGACTGTTCGAAGTTACAATGGCACTGAAAAAGTGCCTCCCAAGCCACAGCTGAGCAAGACACCTGCCTGCCCACCAGCGCTCTTCCTCCTGTTTGAAGTTTTCATTGTGAGCATTTCTGTTGAGGATTGACAGCGGGGGTGGGGTGGGGGGTATTTGGTTTTTATTCCCCCCCGTCTGCTGGGTGGTTGCAGCAGGTTTTGGTCACGTCACATGACCCTGGGACATTGTGACCGTCATAAATATGAATCAGTTGCCAAGCATCTGAATGTAAATCACAAGACCCTGGAGATGCTGCAACATTCCAACTGATCGGCGCTTCTTCTGGGCTCAGCAGAAGCGCCAGGATCAGTGCTGCTTTCCAGCTGATTGGTGCTTCTTCAGAGCTTAGCAGAAGCACCAGGATCAGCGCCGAGCTCCAGCTGGAGCCTGGCGCTGATCCTGGCACTTCCACTGAGCCCTGACAGCCCCCAAGAAGCACCGATCAGCTGGAATGCGGCACTGATCCTGGCTCTTCCGCTGAGACCTGACAGCCCTGCAGCTCCAGCCGTCTCTCGCTCAGGCTTGTGCGGTGCTACCACCGGTTCAGCCCATTCCCCTCCCCCATTACCACTTTTCTAGGATGGTCGCGTACCACCTGCCAGGTGCCAATGTACCACAGGTGGTACCCGTACCACTGGTTGAAAAGCCCTGCTCTGTAGCATAGTAGTCTGGCTCAGGTGGGGAGTGAAAGGGAAGAGGTGGGCGAGCAGCCAGGTCATTGAATGGGCGGCAGAGGTCGCTGGCTGCAGGGGTCTGAGGTAAGTGGGTGCAGGGCACATGGGCCAGCTCCACCGCCCCCCACTTGCCTTGCCTCATTTCATGGCAGCGGCAGCGGTGCAACAGGCACTCTCCTGCCCTGTTGCGACTGCGAGCAACCAGACGGTAGGATGGAGTGGGCAGGAGGCTAATCATTTTTTTCACTTTTGTCTTACAATACCATTTTTTTTCTTGATTAGAAAATTATTTTAGTGTGTTTGTATACTCTTTTCTACTATTATTAGGAATTAATGCTCTTGCAGTATTTCTGGACAAGACATCAAATTTTGGAACACAAAGTGCTTTATATCAAGTCACAAATAATGAAAATAATGCTAACATGTATTTTCCAATGGGGTTTGATTGGGGTGTCTATGTGGACAGAAAGCATTTCTAATTATTAGTATGTGAATGTGTTAAGTTGCAGACCCCAGCCTCTTTTGCACAGAGTGTTCAGGAATTAACAATTGCTCTCCAGAGAACTGGTGATCCAGCTAATTTGACCCGGCTTCGACCCCATCTTGAACTTCTTGCAAATATTGATCCCAGTCCAGGTAAATTTGGATGGATGGATGGATGGATGGATGGATGGCAGAAGCTTCTGTGGACTAGAGCCAGTTTCATCAATTTTATGAAACTATATTTTTTGACCAGCAGTTCCAAATTGTTCTTGTATGTGGACTACAAGTTTTGTAGATCTGTGTATATTCTCCAGCACTGAGATGGAGACTCCACCATTGGGTAGTAGACTGTATTCCTGCCCAATCAGATCAAGTCAGCCAAAGTTGCCACGCCCGTCCTGGACCGTGATCTTCAGTCTTTGACTTGATCTTGCCCAGGACAGACGTTGCAAGTTTGGCTCTAGGCAGGTACAGTCAGTGGTGGATCTCCATTCCCTTTCCAANATTAATTATTTTGATGTTCTTCCAATTTTTGTGTCTTCCCCTTTGGCTTCTTTTCTGTTTGGAATATAATATAGTTGTTAATGAAGACTTTTCCTCACTTGTAATGGAATAATAGGTTATGAGAATGAAAACAGAAAAAATATGTTATAGGCAGTTGAACATAATGCTAATTTTTCTTACTCTGTATGTATAGATTCTTCTCCAGCACTGAGATGGAGACTCCACCATTGGGTAGTAGACTGTATTCCTGCCCAATCAGATCAAGTCAGCCAAAGTTGCCACGCCCGTCCTGGACCGTTGGTCTCCAGTCTTTGACTTGATCTTGCCCAGGACAGACGTTGCAAGTTTGGCTCTAGACAGGTACAGTCAGTGGTGGATCTCCATTCCCTTTCCAATTAAATTCAAAAATTCATCTGTGCTTGCACTCAATTCGATTTCCTCACCTCCCCTCAGCGATCCCTGTGAGTATTTACAAGGAGACTAACGGCTGTTAGTCTCACTGCTCATTATTGCATAGGATTGGGCCTGCAGGGAATCGAACGGGCCTGTTCTTTCCCGACGGGAGTCCAACGGCTGTTGGACTCGGAACGCCTCTAGCCTAACGGAGCTGGCGGCTGCGGCTCCGTAGGCTTGTTAAACGGGAAGAAATCGGCCCGAGAGGCTTTTCCCTTCGATCGATCCGGCCTCAATCCGCCAGGACTCGGCTGTTGCTTCCTCAGGCTCAAGCTTTCACGGAGCCCGTGGCTGCGGCTCTGTGGGCGCGGGCGCGTTTTTTCGTGCCGGGTAAAAGGGGGGAGGTTTCCGGAGTGACTTCGGCACCGTTTCTTCCTTGCGGGGCTGCGGCTGCAGTCCCCTTCGAGCAATTGTGAGTTTCTAAAATTTCTATTTGGATTGCGGAGGGGCGCGCGAGCGCGCGCTTGGCCTCCACGACAATCGCCGATTTTTCGGAGGCCATCGGGGACTGAGTAAAAGTTATTTTTTCCCGATTCCTCCATTCCTTGCTTTCGGAGATTATCGGGGACTGAGTAAAAGTTATTTTTCCCCGATTCCTCCGTTCTTTGTTAATCGGCGTGCGAGGCTCCTCAGAGTGCGGGGGGGGAGAGGTGGAAACAGTTCCCCGGCCCTGCCCGTGTCAGACGCCATCTTGAGCCTCGTGGTCCTTGCTTAGGCCGCGGCGGCCATTTTGGGACCTCAATTTTCTCAAAAAAAGTTTTTTTTTTTTTTTTGCATTGTTTATTCAGTGAAGAGAATTAATCTGATTGGGTGCTGGCACAGTTCCAGTTACACAAACAAGTTCCACTCCTTTCTACAAGGGTGGTCATACTGGGTGGTCATATTTCTGTAGGGAGGTAGGCCGCCATCTCAGTAAGGCCGCCATTCTCCAGCACTGAGATGGAGACTCCACCATTGGGTAGTAGACTGTATTCCTGCCCAATCAGATCAAGTCAGCCAAAGTTGCCACGCCCGTCCTGGACCGTTGGTCTCCAGTCTTTGACTTGATCTTGCCCAGGACAGACGTTGCAAGTTTGGCTCTAGGCAGGTACAGTCATTTGGTGGATTTTCCAGTCCCTTTC